AAATGTGACCTGCCCCTTTAAGAAAAAGTATCGGTAATTGGTATCGGTGAGTACTTGAAAAAAAGTATCGGTCTTCGTACTCGATCTTAAAAAAGTGGTATCGGTGCATCCCTAGTTTTGACAAACTATATATGACCTTTTTTCTTACAACTGAAATAGGGAATTTGAGTTCACCTTTTGGATGACACACAGCTAGATATCATGGATATAATTCATCTTGTGTTCAATTTATGGCCCTTGATTATGTACACAAAGACCCAAGAGGCAGTGATTGGGATTGAATAGGATCGGAGATTGTTACAGATAAAAATGATAGAGATTCTAATGAATCTAATGAAGATAATTCTCCAGGCTAAACAATTGCCGGCGTTAAATAACGCCAAAAGCTATAAGCCTTTCCTATTAATATACCCCGACCTGGGATAATTATAATAAAAAATGATTGACTAATATATATTCAAAATTAAATGTAAATATGTTGAAATAGTATTGTAAAATTGTAAGTTTATTTTTAAATTGATCATGTTGGTAGAGTAAGATCATATCTTTGTTATAAAGATTTGTGCAGGTTATATCTCACGCTGCATCGCTTTCTGATTGATCAATTTGAGTATATTATATTGTGTGGGTCTTGAATGACCTCCACTGACCAATAAGGGGGGGCCCCATACGCAGGAACTACACACCCTGCGCATATGGTGGTGTTTTTTGGGGGTTGATCAGTGCAATGCTGCGCTGGGGAAAGTAGTGGCTTTTTGCCATTACATGGAGATAATTTAGTAATTTTGTGCTTTCCGCCCAGAAGGGCAGGCATATAGCACTGTATTACTTCTTTTTCTCTCCCACTTGACCTCAGCATGCATCGTACATGCACCAATATAGCACGAGTGGTATGCATGGTGGCGTAGGAGGGGGAAGGAACCAGTAGAGGATTTAAGGTGGGGATTCCCTGGGGTCAGTCCCTTTTGGTGCTATTGAGGAGGGGATTCTTGTGAGGAAGAATTTATCCACGAGAGGAATATTTTTTTATGTGGGATTAGATTACTTTGATGTATAACTTTTGAAATATATTTATTAGGGATGCACCGATACTAATATCAGTATTGGTGCTGATACTGGACATTTTCACAAGTACTCATACTTGTGAAAATGCCCCGATACTAAAAGCCGATACCGGCTCTTTACATTTTTAGATGGATTCGGCTATAGTAAGGTCCCGCGCTTTCTGGGAACCTCGCGGTGCCTGTATACAGCGCCGGCCCACACATCATCCACCTCCTGAGACGAGCACTGGCACTGACTATGGGACTGGCCAGGAGAGGCACCCAGACAGCGATGCCATCCATTCCCCTCCTACGAAGGTAGAATTTGGTGGGGTGTGAAAGTTGATAAAAAAAAGTCAAGGAATGATCAGTCTAGGAGGGGCTGGAGAGGGTTGGGGACACTGGGTGTGCCGCTTCTCAAATATGCGGACTGGGGTGTCCGGCGTTTGTACTAGAGGTAAAACCAAAGAAGGAGGGGTGGCGAAGCGCCAACAACCTGACGTGAAACAGTAATGGGATGTTGGGAAATATGAAAGTTTTATTCGCATCTGGGTGAGTTTGTTGTGGCTTTGGACGGAGGATTTCAAGAAGGTGGTGCTGTGTGGTGAGGTGCCAGCACTTCTGATCGCATATCCGTGGTGTGTTTTCAGGAATAAATGGATAAGTGGGTGAGTATAATGAGTGTAAACTCTAATAGGTGAAAATACATGAACTTACCATTAGGTAAGAAATGCTGCGACATCAGCGACAAAGGTCATGATAAGATGTGAAGATTTAGATCAAGGTGGGTGATGGATGTTCTGCTAGGTTGGTTGAAATGATGATAGTTCAGCTGAGGTGGTTCAAATATGTTGTTGTGGGTCTGAATCCTGTGTTAGTATTGCTGTGGCTGTGACAGCTGATTGATGCTGGTTAGGTACACTGTGAATTTGGTGGGGGCGGGCAGAGATTGTGGGGGGCACAGATCGGTGGGGGCAGAGATGGCTAAGGCACAAATTATGGGCGGGAGATGTCAGGGGGAGCAGAGATCAGGGGGGCTCCCCTGGGTACAGCAGTTTCGCTCCTAAGATCTTTAGAGCATCCCTCCTCATCCCAGCCATAGTACATTATCTGACTGCAGAGCATTCCTCCTCATCCCAGCCATGGTACGTTATCTGACTGCAGAACATTCCTTCCCATCCCAGCCATGGTACATTATTTGACTGCAGAGCATTCCTCCTCATCCCAGCCATGGTACGTTATCTGACTACATAGCATTCCTCTTCATCCCAGCCATGGCATGCTATTTGACTGCAGAGCATTCCTCCTCATCCCAGACACAGTACAATGTTTTCTGACTATTGAGCATTCCTCCCCATCCCAGCCACGGTACCATGTTATCTGACTGCAGAGCATTCCTTCTCATTCCAGCCACGGTACTATGTTATCTGACTGCAGAGATTTGTAGTTGACGGTATTATTCTGCATTGCTGTATAATGTATTGCTGAGATTTGTACTCTTCTATAGCTGGTGGTATTCTGCATTGCTATATAATGTTTTGGCGAGATTTGTACTCCCTCTACAAGTTTTTCTAAAACAATACAAACAAATGATTTTAGGAGAGTGGTGCAAATGCTGTGACCCTTGTAGTTCTGCCACTGACTCCAAGCTGTAGAGGGAGTACAAATCCCAGCAATACATTATACAGCCATGCCATATGGAAACCAGCTATAGAGGACTACAAATCCCAGCAATACATTATACAGCCATGCCATATGGAAACCAGCTATAGAGGACTACAAATCCCAGCAATACATTATACAGCCATGCCATATGGAAACCAGCTATAGAGGACTACAAATCCCAGCAATACATTATACAGCCATGCCATATGGAAACCAGCTATAGAGGACTACAAATCCCAGCAATACATTATACAGCAATGAAGAATAATATAAAGCTACATACTGTGTGCTGCTCCGGGGTGCCGGCCTGATGTGTCCAGCCGAGGATCTCAGGAGGGCTGTGGGGGGTCTCAGGAGGCTATGCAGGGTCTTAGGAGGGCTGTGCGAAGTCTCAGGCGGCTGTGTGGGGTCTCAGGTGGGCTTTGCGGGTCTTAGGGGGGCTGTGCAGGGTTTTAACAGGGCTGTGATAGGTCTCAGGAGGCTGTGTGGGGTCTCACCAGGGGTCCGAGTACTCGTGAAAATGCCTAGTATTTTCATCGGTGCATCCCTACTTCTCACCTCTTGTCCACGTGGTAATTGAAAACAGGAATATGCTCTACAGTGACAGTTAAAGTGTTGGTCAAACAAGAGATAGCTGGCTCCATTTTTAAGAAAACCCTCTTCAATAGGGTATTGCTGAGCAAACTATTTAGGAGGAGTAAGCAATTTTTCAGGGTGATCCCAGTCACCATAAAACACCGGCTGTAAAAGTGTGTGCACAGGGAAGGTTTTGAGCATTTTTTTTTTTTTCAAATTCTTTATTTGTCAACAGCGTTGTACAACAGTTTTCACAGCAATACAGGGCATCTGCCTAACACCAGCGTCAATTGTAGTCGGTTTTGAGCATTTTTAAAGAACCAGACTTGTGGTGACCGTAGGGAAAACCAGCGAAGGGGCCTTAACTGCAAACATTCAAGCGCAGTAACCACAAGCACAGTCCTTGAGCTTAGGAGAGATGTCAGCAGACAGTTCCTCCTGCTGGGCTGAGTGCACCAAAGCAATGCTTTCTTCCTTTTTTTTCTTCCTCAGGGAGTGCACCAGCAGAGGAAGGTCAGAGGGGGATTCAGAAAGGGAAGGAAAAAGGATCCCATGTGGTCTAAGGACTGGACTCCTTAGATCAGATATTTTCAGACATTTTCTTAATAAATTCAGCCATTACTGAAGAAAACTCCTCTCTGGATAGCAGGGACCTTAAGGGTTCTGAGGAAGGCCCTGAGGTGGGAAGTGGCTGGGAGAAGAAACAGACACAACTTTCCCCACAACTGTTGTCAGGTTGTGTGGCCCCAAATCTTGCCACCCATACATCCCCACATCTATGACCCACCATTGTCTGAGAGAGAACCCCAGGTACTCACAACTGTGTAGATTGGAGGGTGCCTTGTGTCCCAACACAGGAATGGTGACCCAGTACAGCAGTACAGAGATCTGGACCCCCTGTGTACTAATACAAAGTCACAGTGGTAGCAGCATGTGGCCACCACAGCATGTGCCAGAAGAAAGAAAATAGCTGATGCATGCACTCTACAGTACCCCAGAGGGAGGTTGTGCAGGAACTGTTCGGCTCTACAGACAGCCTACGGGACTGAGCAAATGGTGGCAAATTCAAACAGAGAGAGGCAGCTGTTGTCCCCAGGACAGAAAGTGAGGATCAGGGTTAGGTCCAGCAGAAAAATGCTAGAAACTAGTCATGTGCACCAGCAAAAAATTTGTTTCGATTCGGATTTTGCGTTATTTCGGTTTTCGGGATTCAGGTCCGAAAGTCAATTCGTTTCGGGATTCGGAAAAAATTAATTAGCGGTAGTCTGTACGAATTTTCATGTTCGTTTGCTTTTTGCTTTCGCTTGTTTCATTGCAGCAAAACGAAAATTCGTTCACAAACGAAAATACGTACAGACTAGCGGTGCCGAATTTTGTCCGAAATTTCGTATATGGAAATTCATATTCGTTTTCATCCGTCATTTCTATTAGTCGGAAATTCGGATACATCCGAATAACGAAAATTCGCCCGAAGAACTAATTTTTCCGAAACGAATCGCACATGTCTACTAGAAACCCTGATAAATTGTATTGTCTGTTTCTCAGTTTCCCCAGGACAGGAAGTGATGTTCAATTTCAGAGGCAATGAGAGAATTAAAAGAATGTTTAATGTAATTAATTGAATTAAGTTAATTAATTAAGATAAGTCAGGAAATGCTAGAAAACCTGTTTGCCAAGTTAATTCCTAGAGGGAGAAGGAGCACAATTTTGTCTTACCTGTAAATAATGCCCTTTGAGTGGAGGAATTGTAATCCACAGATTATCTCGGCTGCATAGAACCTGAAGACAGATGGAAGAACATGGGATGCAATAAATATAGATATATCCAATCAGAAAATAAATAAAAAAATAAATCCAGTACATGACTATTTATATGGCCATTAATCCAGTCTGAAATAAAGATGAACGAATGATTACCTAAGCTGCTAAAACACACTGGGAAAGATTGACACACAAAACCTAATACTTTCCTCATTCCTTCATGAGCATAAAGGCAAATTAAGATTTGCCTTTATGCTTGTGCTGTATCTTATGTTCTAAAGAGTGGAAGTAACAAGACATACAAAAGTAATTCATTAGAGGACCTCAGAGAAATAGGGTAACATTGGCACAGATTGCTACAAATCAGCAATGCCAACACTGTATTACTCACATTATGCTTTTGACCTACACCCTTCTGGCATCACACAGTCCTATGTACATGAGCTAACCCTGTCTTTCTAAAATGAATAATCATTAAAATAGGATTTTTGACTTACCAGTAAAATCTGTTTCTTGGAGTACTGTACAGGACACAGGCGATTCAGAGACAACTGGGCAATATGCAGTTATTATTATAAGTGATTGGACACTAGCCAGAGCTGTGAGGACCCTCATATAACCCCTCCTACTCGAGGAAATCTTCAGTTTTTTAACAAGCAAGAGGAGAGGGTGATGTGTCCTCCAAGAAATGGATTTTACTGGTAAGTCAAAAATCTTATTTTGATTGTACAGTACAAGCCACAGGCAATTTGTAGATGGCTGGGACATCCAAAAGAGGCAGAGGGGTGGGCAACACAACAAACAAGCTAACAGGCCCCAATAATAGGGAAACCCCACCTAAGACATCAGTCTGTAGCACTTTATGGCCAAGTAGCATCAACAGATGCCTGAACATCCACCTGGGAAAACTTAGAGAACTTATGAGTAGAAAACCAGGTGTTAGCCTTGCAAATCTGCAACGCAGATGCTTGATGTTGAAAATCCCAAGAAACACTCACAATCTAGTGCAGTGCGCATTCACAGGAAAAGGCTAAGCCCTCTTTTTAACATAATAGGCATGCAGAATGACCTGTCTGGGTCACCTCAAGATGGTGAAACAAGAGGCAGGGAGCCCCCTGCAAGGTTCTTCAGGAAGGACAAAGAGAAAATCCGATTATCGGAACCAAGATGTAGCCAAGAAATAAACTTGAACAACCTGAACCACATCCAAACAGTGCAGAGAGACTCTCTTAAGATGTTTCAGGGTAAAACAAAAAGAAGAACGAATGATGTCCTCATTAAAATGAAAAGAAGACACCACATTAGGCATCCTTGTGAAGAACAAAAGGTTCCTTACATGATAGTCTTGCCAATTCCGAAACTCAGAAGTAATAGTGACAAGGAAGGAAACGCTGCACGTAAGATCCACCAGAGAGATAGATATCTCGCATAAATTCGAAGGGTACTCGTGGAGAAATGAAAGTACCAGAGTGAGATTCCACAGCGTCACTGGAAGGCATCTAGGAGGGGCTATGTGAGCAACTCCCTGTGCAAAAAATGTTAATCAGGGAATAAGAGGCCAAAGGTTATTGAAAAAGAATGACGAAGACCAATATGTACCCCTTGAGCGTACTCAAGGCCAAATGTTGATGCAGCCCGAAGAACATCTGCAAGAGCTTGTCCACCCGAGGATGTGGGGTCCATAGTATCTGGAGGTAATGTGGGGAACAAGGTGGGTTATGGGAACTACCCCTGGATATTAATTATGGATTGAAACCCTTTTAAAATGGGCCACTCCTAGGGGCTCCCGAATACGTGTAATGTGTATCTGTGGGTTGGGATCTTTTGTCGATAAATTTCATATAATATACCCTGTAATATTGTCTATCTCACATGGTGGTTGTTTTATAGATATGAGAAAGTTTTAAAAGCACGTTTTGTTCCCTTTTTCCTGCACTGTTTATATTAATTACCCATCGCAGACTTGGGGTCACTGCACAAGGATATAATTTTAGTAATTGATTGGGCCATAGGTTCTATTCCACTAGGGGTTTGGGATATAGTCATGATGAAAGAATTGTGTTAAATCCTGCAATAAGAAAGCTTATTGAAGGATTTTGAATTATTTTTGGAAATACTACAATGCTAAAGTCACTAAGGTTAAGGGTAGACACTATCCCTTGGGGAATTAATAAAATGAAAACACTCTTTCTACTAGGAACACTGAAAAACGATGTTGGTGTCATCACGTAGGGTTAATGGATTATGGACACATGGAATCAACCATTTTGGCACCAAAATAAGATAATATACACGTTTTGAGCTTTTTATAATATTAAAATTGGGGTGAAGCTCACACGGAAATAATTATCGTTGGTCACAATCAATTATCAATAGTATTTATTAATAAAACAAAATGAGTAGGAGCACTTATGAAACTCGATAATTAGTTAGGACTCTCCACCGATATCGATGGGAGCAGACCTCTAAGTAGAGTATCCCTGGCGGTTTCACCTCTTTATACGGTGGTTTTACTTTATTCTATGTTTGAAGCCGGTTTGGGGATGAATAGAATGAAATACTGGGGGGTTTATTGCAGGTCTGGGGACACTAAAATGTTTGTATGAAGTATGTATTTGTAATGGTATAATTATTTGTCTATTATGAAAAAATGAATAAAAGATTTTGTAAATAAAATCCATCCCATGGAGTATGGAGGATGAAACTTCCTTTGTTCACATCAGGCAAAGTAAGCCCTCCAGGTATGATGGTACACCTTGCAAGAGGTGGACTTTCAGGACAGCAAGATTGTGGGAGCCAGACTCCTATCCCTCAGGACCTGGGCTTTAGCAGCCAAGCTATCAAACCCAGCGACTGAGAAGCTGAATGGAATATCAGACCTTGAGACAGCAGGTCTGAATGGTCAGGAAGCGGCCATGAACAATCAGCCATGAGACGAAGGATGAACGCATACCACAATCTTCTGACCAAGAAGGGAGCCACGAGGATCATTGGAATTCCCTCCACCTTGAACCTGCAGAGCCAACAGAAAGAATCTTCAGTGGAGGAAAGGCATAGATAAGGGAGAACTGATCCCATGGAACCACAAGCACACCCACTGATATAAACCTATCCAGTCTGGACAGCAGGAGGTTTAAGTCTGGCGTCCCCCAACAGCAGCAGAGTTCCTAGAACACCTTTAGATGAAGAGACCATTCCCCCGAATCCAGCCTCTTCCTGCTGAGAAAGTTTACCTACCAAGTTTTCACTCTGGAATGTGTACAGTGGACATGGAATGGGAAAGGAAGTTCCGCCAAACCCAAGATCAAGTCTGCTTCTCTTGAGCTGCACAACTTCTGGTTCCTCCTTGATGGTTTATGTGCACCATGGCGTTTTTTAATTAGACCCTTGTCAGTTGCCTTTGAAGGTGCATCCAGTGCTGCAGGGAGAATTAAACTGCTCTGCAGAACATTGATGCATAGTTTGACTTTCATCCCCTGTACAGTCAAGGTTCATATCACACCTATTCAGCCCAGAAGACTGGTGTCCATTATCAGTATCATCCACTGCAGCAGAAGGAAGAACTTCCTGGTCTCTAATATTATATTGGAAATCCACAAAAGCCAGTAAGGTTCTCTCCTTGGCCGACCGCTGCATGGGATGATCCAGGGAGTGAGTCTGTTTGTCCCACAAAGCTAGAATGCTCAGTTTGAGTGGTCTGGAATGGAAATGAGCATATGGTACCACATCTAAGGAGACTATCATCTGAATCAAGACACTCATGCAGAAACTCACCAAGGGCTGGTCCCTAGCCTTTTTCGAACTGGGCCTTCAGTAGAAGATCATCCAAATATCCCACTACATGGACACCTGAGAAGGCAACAGTGCAAGATCAGGGGCACGTACTGTTGTGAACACCTGAGGGGCTGTGGAAAGGCCACATAGAAGTGCCACAAAACGCAAAGGGCATTGTTGAGGGAAAATGTTGGCACCTGCAGTTAACAGGTGCAGTCCACCTGTTTCAGTGGACTAAATGTCCACTGAAACAAAAAGATCTCCCTGCTGAAGTAACTGATGTAGCTGATTCCATGTGGAACTTGACTACCCACAGAAACTTATTGACAGACTTTGAGTCCAGGATAGGGTGTAACCTACCATTCGGTTTTGGAACTGTGAAGAGGTTAGAGTGAAAATGATGTCACAAATCGCTGCCCTCTGTGCTTTAGCTTGCAACCCCGGGAGACTATGGAGAGTACCCACAGATCCTGAACGTCTTGACTCCAGATGGCCACAAGTGCATGTAGGCATCCCCTCGTTATGAGGCGGACTTGATGGCAGATTTGGAAAGCTTTGGGGTTCAGGGCTTATGCTTAAACAAGGAGCCCTGTTTAACTTTGGAGGAATAAGACTGAAAGGAATGAAAAGGAGCCCTTCCTGGCCAAAGCCGAGGAAGACATGACAAAGGAACCTCTAGGTTTCTGTTTGCTGGGTAAGAGAATGCTCTTGCCCCCTAGCAACCCCAGTAACCTATTTAATAAAGGTGTCCCATCCTTCTCCATAAAGGCATTCCCCCGCAAAGGGAATCATCTCCAGGGGCTTCCAAGTTGGCAGGTCGGTTCTGCCAACCAATACTTACACCACAGGAGTCTGCGCATCTGCACAGACAGCAATCCCAGCCTAGACAGCTGACACAAGTGTCAGCTAAACCGTCCACACAGTAGTGCAGGACTACTGGCAAAATCTCCATCCACCACGGGTTCTCATGATCCACAGAGATAGAGTTAGGATCCCTCACCATGCATTCTGTCCAGACCGATAGGGTTTGATATACCTCCATGGAAGCGACCGCCACTTGTAGAATTGGTCCAGCCATAGCATAGGATGCCTTAAACAAGGCTTCTAGGCGACCTCTGGCACCACCTATTGTTTTGAAGAAGACTTCCTCAAGGGGGTATATTGTTGTGCAAAGCGTTTGAGGGGAAAATACTTTTTCAGGATGTTGCCAATCCACATAACTTACCTCCTCCACTAGAGAGTGCATAGGAAAGGTCTTACTGAGCTTATTTTTCTTAAGGGAACCCATACTAGTGACCTAGGGGCGATCAGCACAGGTGAAGCAATAGCTAGACATTCCCTCACCGCATCAATTAGTATTTAAATGGTGTACCAAATTTTTGGGGCAGGTTTGCTTTATATGAATTTTCCTAAGAGGAAACTTCTGAATCTAAGGAGGTATCTCCTCCTCCTCAATGTCCGTCAAGAAGGTAGTAGCCATGGCCGTGTCTAAAACCCAATTCAGAAAGCAAGGAGAAACGGGACTACGCTTGCACCCTGATGCCTCAAACACAGCAGATATTTGTACCATAAAAGCATTTTTCGAGGCTGCAAAATATTCTTTACTAAAGGCAGGAAGAGTAGATAGATGCATTAAAAGAGGGTAGCAGGCTAAACTGCTAACATACATACTCTCTGTAGCAGAGTCCCTTTTCCCCAGGACCTTTGCGTTTTAAGTCTGAATGGTGTGTAAATTTTGGCGCTATATAAATAACTTGAATAAATAAATAAATGGTGAGGGGCCCCAATGGATATTCATACTGAAGGTATTTCACATATTTTGTGTGAAACAAATGGCTTTATAAAGTGCCAGCAGCCATGGACACCAGGAATATTCAGGGGGGATGGGGGCAGAGACTCACCCACCAGTAGCATCAGACATCCCACCAGGGAAAGGGGTAATGTCCACCAACCCTCGGCTTCACTTACTTCGGACAAGCATACCCGCTCCTCCAGGACAGGGTCTTCAGGGACAGGGGTCACAATAGTGCAGATATTCCACTGCCCTGGATCTCTATAGCACCTTGTGGCTAACCCAACGTGTGCTTTACAATGTGCAGGATCCAGTGTCCAAAGCGACATTACAGCCTGGCCCCACATCTTCAGTCCTGTGGGGTCCAGGTACAGTCCCTGAAGCTGCAGCTGTGCGGCACCGATCCAGAAGCTGCAAAGCTGCCGCCATGGCCAGACGCAGCCAGAACGTTCTTGATTAATGAAATCCAGAAAAAAGGTAACTAAACTACCACATATCTCCCTCGATAGAAAGGAGACATCCATCATCACCTAAGGACACTAGGAAAAAAACTGAGGATTTCCTGGAGTGGAAGGGGTTATATGAGGGCACAGCTCTGGCAAGTTTCCCATCACCTGATGATATTTGCATATTACCCAGTCATCTATGAATTGCCTATTTCCTGCACTGTACGATCAAGAAAAGCTGTTACACTATATCAAAAAATGTTTTTTAAAAACCCTTAAAATTAGGAGTATTGGTCCTAATATCCAGTTAACTGAATCCCAATGGCATAAAGCTGGTCGTGTTTCACTAGCTGTAAACTAAACCAAAACCGATCAGTTTTTAGATTTCTAGCAGCCCAGGGTGGTTTATTTAATAACACAACACCAAACAAATTACTTGAAGCAGAGAACAATAGCACATGGTGACAATCAGTAGTGAAATATGATGATAGCATAAAGAAATATAGATGTTTTCCACTGACTTTCTTTCAGTTATGAAGCAGATACATACGTAGTTCTGAAAAGATCAAAACGGCCCTTGTCCTGTATGTGAAACATCAAATCTCCACCATTCAGAAACTCCATAACAAAGAAGAGGTGCTCCTGTTTTGAAACACAGAAAAGGCAATTGCATGAGACCTTTTAGGTTTTCTATTGCTTTACTCACTGACAATTGTTTGGTTTTATTGACGTCCCTATTGAGATTTCATGCCCTCAGTGGGGGACCAAGACAACAATAAAACCCTTGCAGTGGTTCTAACCCTTTCCCACTTGACAAAAAATGTTGTAATTGCTGTCTGTGTCCCCAGTGGAGAGATTACCATTCACTTCCTGCTCTGACACCTGTCAAATCAACAGAAAGACAAAGGAAATCAGTAATAGCTCATGCCCTCTCTGTCCAAGACGAAAAAAAAATTAAAAAGCTTAAGTTTAATCTTACATTTTTCCTTCTTTTGTTCCAGAACCCCACCCCCTTTCCCAATCGACAAGATATCAACATTTTTAAATTAAAGCTTTGCATTTTCATTAAATACCTTGCTGTATACCCAGTGTTGTCATCAGTGAGTCCCTGTGCTTCTTTTTGCAATGTAGGCAGAGGATGGCTGGTAGGAGGGACCAAAAGGGAGCCCTACATAGCATGTTGAAAACATCACAGCACCCTGCCTCAGTACTCCTCCCAAAAGCCCTCAGTCCTGATGCATAAAGCTGGTTGGCTCTTGGAAGGAGAGAAACCCCCTCTCTTTGTTTGGGAGATTTATTTTCACTCGTTAATGTTTTTTGGATGTGAAGATACATCTCTCCAGCTGGACACCATTTTAAGCATTTACTACTGTATCCAAAAAAATCCCCAAGAAATTGTTTTAGCTATAGACACGCTTTGTTGTTGTTTTGCTTTCATGTAGTGTCTATAATTATGTACGGGGGGAAGGCCATATGCGCTGATTACCAAAGCAGGACATGCCTCTTGTTGATCGTTTTGTCTTATTAATAAGTTTTGTCTGACTGAAAACCATGGACACCCTGCAGTCCACATGACGGCTACAATGACCCTGGTAGCAAAAGACCCTGTCACTTTTTGCATATGTTGTTACTGGCATGATAAAGCTCAAAGCAACATTTTTGTTAAGGCTAAAAAAGATAACGTTATTTGGTAAAAATTGTAACATAAGTGACTCTTAATGACAGGTCCACTTTAAAAGGAATTTCCTATTTAAATAATAATGTCTGACTGCATGAAACTTGCCTACATGGCAACAGGCAACTGTGGAACAAACCCCTCAGATTTGTAAAACAGCAGGTCAAAGGAAAGGTACATACAAGGGTACTGCTAATGTCACGTAGCTGTTAAAATTATAGAGAATAACATGTAAATATGTATATTTTACAGTATATTAGCATATTTTATTACTGTACATGAGACCCCCTTTACTGATATCAGCTGGTTACCTTAGTCTGGAAGGTGCAGTAGATATGAGTGAGAAATGGATTTTCCCAGGCTAATGCCAGCACACGCTTCTCCACCATGGTGCACTCCACATCATCATCAATCAGCACTACGTCTTTCTTTAGGGCTTTTACAGCAAAATATTCATTCTTGCCCTTTAGCTCAGCTAAGAGGACCTAGAATGAAGAGTAAACAGGCATGACATAGGTACTTAAATGTCAACAAAAGAAAGATTGTAAAACTGAAAACAACTGTTAACCTTCCCGAAGCTGCCTTTTCCAAGGACCTTGTGAAATGTGAAATTTTCCGCCGACACACGGCTGCCAATACTGGACACTCTTGCAGGCTGAAGGCTGCTCCCCTCCCAAAGCTTATCGTACTGGTTGTCTGGTAAGTAGAAGATGAGAATAACATTGACAAGAAGGTGAAATATTTTGGGTCCCTGCCACTGAAAGGATCTTTCCCCATCAGTGGGCTAGTCACAAACACACTTGCCTGTTGTATCCAAACCTTTTGCAACTGGAGCAGTCGGCGATACACCTTGGTAAATGCCAAAGCTATCCAAAGATGAATCTGATTTCCTGGTTGACTTCTAAAATATTAAGAATTACATCTGTATCAGTGTATATACTAAACTGGTTCCATAATTCTCAGAAAAAAACTTGGTTTAATTTTCTTTTATTTTAAACTGTAACCACTGAAACCTCCAACTATCATTCATTGGCTCTTGACAGATCCCTGTCATGGGAAGAACAGAGAGTTTTGTGTGCACAAAATGTCTTCCACAGGGGAAACGTTTGTGCCCACAGCAGACAATCAGCTGCTATTGGTTCCACAATGAAATTATCTCATTAGTTTCTACAAGCAAAAAAAGCAATTCCGATATGGAAGAGTTTTCGTACAATCTATACATGGTGTTCGAAAATGGTGTAAAATGTGTGGTCTACTTTTGAATTTATGGTGTGAAAATGCTCCATAAATGCCCCATAGCTTCTCTAAATGCTACCATCTTGTATTAAATTTATGTTGATGCATCTTGTGTGAAGTGTTGTGACCAGCAGGGAATTTGTTGGATAAGTGGCTGTGAAATGTTTTAGGTGTACCTCCATATTATACACATATGATTTTTGTATAAAACTTAGACAGTGAGCTCAATTTCATTCAGCTTTTGAGCTATAGTGTGTGTGTATATACAGTAAGTATATATACAATGTGGAAAATAATTATTTGATCCCCTGCAGATTTTGTAAGTTTGCCCACTTACAAAGAAATGAAAGGTCTATCGTTTTTATCATAGGTGTATTTTAAATGATAGAGCCAGAATATCAATCAAAAATCCAGAAAAAACACATGATACAAATTATATGAATTGAGATGCAGTTCAGTGAGTAAAATAAGTATTTGATCCCCAAGCAAAATGTGACTTAGTGTTGGCAAGCACAAAGGTAAGATGTTTCTTGTAGTTGGTTACCAGGTTTGCACACATCTCAGCTGTCGCTTGGCAAGTCGAAGTTTCAGCTCCCTCCATACATTTTCTATAGGATTAAGGCCTGGAGACTGGCTAGGCCACTCCATGACCTTAATGTGCTTCTTCTTGAGCCACTGCTTTGTTGCCTTGGCAGTATGTTTTGGGTCAATGTCATGCTGAAAGACCCATCCACAATCCATCTTCAGTGTTCTGGCTGAGGGAAGGAGGTTCTCATCCAAGATTTTACAATACATGGCCCCGTCCATTAGAGAAACAGCCCCAAAGCATAATGTTTCCACCTCCGTGCTTGACTGTAGGGAGGGTGTTCTTAGGGTCGTAGTCAGCATTTTTCTTCCTCCAAACATGGCCATAGAGCTCAATTTTGGTCTCATCTGACCGCAGCACTTTCTCCCAATCCTTCTCTGAATCATTTACATGTTCATTGGCAAACTTCAGACGGGCCTGTACATGTTCTTTCTTGAGGAGGGGGACCTTGAGGGTGCTGCAGGATCTCAAATCAAGGTGGAGCTGAAAGACCCATCCACAATCCATCTTCAGTGTTCTGGCTGAGGGAAGGAGGTTCTCATCCAAGATTTTACAATACATGGCCCCGTCCATTAGAGAAACAGCCCCAAAGCATAATGTTTCCACCTCCGTGCTTGACTGTAGGGAGGGTGTTCTTAGGGTCGTAGTCAGCATTTTTCTTCCTCCAAACATGGCCATAGAGCTCAATTTTGGTCTCATCTGACCGCAGCACTTTCTCCCAATCCTTCTCTGAATCATTTACATGTTCATTGGCAAACTTCAGACGGGCCTGTACATGTTCTTTCTTGAGGAGGGGGACCTTGAGGGTGCTGCAGGATCTCAAATCAAGGTGGTGTTTTGTGTTACCAATGGTTTGTTTGGTGACTGTGGTCCCAACTGCCTTGAAATCATTCACAATCTCCTCACATGTAGTTCTGGCTGACCCCTCACTTTTCTCATGATCATCCTTACCCCATGAGGCGAAATCTTGCATGGAGCTCCAGACTGAGGGCGATTGATGGTTATTTTGTATTCCTTCCATTTGCGAATAATCGTTGCAACAGTTGTTTCCTTCTCACCAAGCCTCTTGCTGATAGTCTTGTATCCCATTCCAGCCTTGTGCAGGTCTACAATCTTGTCCCTAACGTCCTTTGACAGCTTTTTGGTCTTGCCCATGGTGGTGAGGTTTGAATGGATAAAGAGATTCTGTCGACAGGTGTCTTTTATATACATAACAAGTTGTCGTAAGGAGAACCTTCTTAAATTGACAGGAATAATCTGACTAATCTGTGTACCACATAGCCAGTCTGTGGGAGCCAGAATTATTGTTGGTTGGTAGGGGATCAAATACTTATTTTACTCACTGTATACGTGATGAGGACACAGCTAGAAAATCAGTGCCATACTGACACCACCAAAAAACAAGTCCATACGTTGAAGGCTAAAGAGTTGGCTGGATTTGTGGGAGGAGTTGCACCGGCGACTCGTCATTTAAGAGGGGTGGGAGGGAGGTGTTACCTTTGCAGCCGAAATTTTCAGCTGACTCTTCCTCCCTTCCCCTTTTTTTCCTTGAATTTACTAGAGTAGGCCCCCTTATTTGGCATTGCTGACCTCAAGATCATGGCACACCTCAGGTTTGTATCTTGTATGTGTTGTGCACCGTTCGGGGTCATGTGAGACTCCAACCACAAATACAAATTAAGTAATGTACTAACACCACCGGAAACATGTCCACAGATATTAAATGAGTTCTAAAGTTACAGCATATACTATTCTGTTAGAACATTAGCATTGTAATAGAATACATACTATAGTTGTTTTTGATAATACAATCAAAGCTTTTTTATGTAATGAGTGCTGCCTTCTATCTTGCAAAAAAAGGGGTTGTTTGACTCCTGGAGATAGCAAACTCTAATGATTACCCTTGTGACCGGTTTATCTACCATATCCGTAACCATCAATTGGCAGAGACAAAAGCTAACAGGAACGGACAACCCCAAGAGAGGGTGGTCCAAGGGTTAACTGAGGAATGGGACAACCGGTATATTGAAAAATAGAAAATTCTTTATTCTTGATAAATAATCATGTGTATATACAGCCAAAAACTTACTGTCAAAAATTTTTAAATCAATGACACTACAAAACTGATGGTCATTAGTGTGAATGGATCTAGTTTGACCCTCTAAATTCTATGCGCATAGATTTTGTCCAAAAATAGCAGTTTTCAGTATTGGATCTGTTAAACTCCGTAACAGGCCAGGAGGATTTGATCCTAGATGGATAATTTTTCACATTTGGTTGAGAGCTTGATAGTGTATTCCACAGATCGCCACTTCAAAATAAAATGTATAAGCCCGTGATCGGCAATACAAAATAGAGAGTAGCTTGTTCAGGTTCTCACAAGGTGAGGGTAAACCAGCATGGGTGGTCATTTGTTACATCGTTCCTAAATAAACAGAGAACTCTTTTCTTGTAAATGGAATTCAATCATGAATTAGGTTGATTCAAAGCAAGGGGAGTGTGCGCAGATCGGAGAGACAGTCAGCATGTGTGTCTGGTCGTGATACATTTTGTGGTGAACTATGACAGGTGAGTCTTCCCCTTGACAAGTGGTGCCAGGGGGGTATTAGTCCAGGTGGGACAATAATGATTTCCCTGTTGATAGGACGCCATGAAATAGCCACACATTTTTCAGAATTTCATGGCGGCCTAACAACAGGTTTAAAAGTAAAGGCGATATATGCACTTAAGTTACCGCAACGGAGGGGGGACTTTGACACTGTTCTCCTCCAAAAAGAAAAAATGTGGGTTTACAGGTTAAACACTCGGACGCCAATGGGCTTGAATAACAAATTCAATCTCAATATGTTTCTGTGAACCTCTCAATATCTGATAAAGACCATCTGAATAGCTTACCATTATAACTATATTTAGGCCATATAATCATCAGCATACTGTCTGTTCCTCCCTTTTTTATATGTTCACATTTAGCATGTTTTTATTAACCATATCTCCGTTGCATATGGAGGTCCATTTGCAAGGAGAAAATGGTTCAATGATCCAAGAAAGCCTGATGAATAATTAACAATAAGGGGGGGACGGCAAATATATGCGTCCGATACCTGAGAACCTGTACGTCCTGACGAAGCCCTGAGTGGAGGGGCAAAACGCGTAGACGCCGCACATCAATACAGGTGGATGACCCGGAGGACGGTGGACATTTTGTCCCGTCCCCAAACTTCAGCATACCCTGGACCTATTAGCAGCATCAGTTTTAAACCTATTGAGGTCTATCAAGTTACACCGCATTTGGCACTCGAGAACTTTGTCTTTGGAGTTTTGAAAAAGAGCGTCAGTGAAAGCAAGACCCGAAAAATCCAAACTATACAAGCATGGGAAGTGTTTGAAAACGAACATCGGTGAACAGACAACCGAAAAGTGAGTAGGACTGCCGTTATTTTCTATATGAAAAAGGGAAATCATTATTGTCCCACCTGGACTAATACCCCCCTGGCACCACTTGTCAAGGGGAAGACTCACCTGTCATAGTTCACCACAAAATGTATCACGACCAGACACACATGCTGACTGTCTCTCCGATCTGCGCAAACTCCCTTGCTTTGAATCAATCTAATTCATGATTGAATTCCATTTTGAAGAAGAGTTCTCTGTTTATTTAGAAACGATGTAACAAATGACCACCCATGCTGGTTTACCCTCACCTTGTGAGAACCTGAACAAGCTACTCTCTATTTTGTATTGCCGATCACGGGCTTATACATTTTATTTTGAAGTGGTGATCTGTGGAATACACTATCAAGCTCTCAACCAAATGAATGTGAAAAATTATCCATCTAGGATCAAATCCTCCTGGCCTGTTACGGAGTTTAACAGATCCAATACTGAAAACTGCTATTTTTGGACAAAATCTATGCGCATAGAATTTAGAGGGTCAAACTAGATCCATTCACACTAATGACCATCAGTTTTGTAGTGTCATTGATTTTAATTTTTTTGACAGTAAGTTTTTGGCTGTATATACACATGATTATTTATCAAGAATAAATAATTTTCTATTTTTCAATATACCGGTTGTCCCATTCCTCAGTTAACCCTTGGACCACCCTCTCTTGGGGTTGTCCGTTCCTGTTAGCTTTTGTCTCTGCCTTCTATCTGCCCGTCACATTCAACGACTTCCTGATTTTCCAGTGTGCTTTGCATCTCGTGACCTGCTGCTTGATGTGATGTAGTTTTGGGTTCTCAAGACTATATAGCCCATAATGCATTGCTTTATAAGCAATTATAATTTTACATTATACAAATAGTCCTGCTGCACTCCTTACCGGAAATCCCAAATTAGTGTGGGTGCTTGAAATGACTGTGGATGGCGCCGATTGGAAACCAAACTCGTTCAGGTCATCAGCACACCATAGTTGAATGAAGAAAACGCCTATTTATTGACGCATATTGTTATTACATGAATGCAACGTTTCGGGGGCCACACAGGGTTCCCTTCATCAGGCTTATAATGAAGGAAATAATGAAAGCAGACAGGTGATGGATAAGGTTGTTCAGACATAGCCTAACTGACTTACCAGGCTTAACCCTGTAGAAGAAACACTACCCAACACGAAAAGTCTGCAACTGCCAACAGCTGTCTCTTGCTCTCCCGCTCATGTACTGGGCAAAGCTGGCCTTTCTCATGCTGTAATAATAAAGGCAGCGTGGCACTAGTCTCAGGCACTGTGAACATAGTCAAGACGCAGACTTTTAGGTGGTGACCTCTCGTCCTTGTCATGGGGTTAATTGAAAAAGTTTGCTGCTAATTTTGCTCTCCCCGGTAAACATTTTATACATGAAAATTATCCTTAATCTCCTTACTTCCAATGAGAACATGTTTAGATTTAGTAGCAGGTTAACTGTTCATTTTGCCTAAGGGATGATACACAAGGTGACATACTTACCATATTCCTTGCCCCACCTGAAGTTGACACTCACTGTCCGACACACCGATATGTGGGTGGGCTCTTAGCACCCTCTGTACAATGCAGGACTACAGATGTTGCATTGAACAGGATGATGCCAGAGAGCTGCGACCGCTTGGCAGTGAAGAGAAGAGGCTTTGAGGGACCGGTCACAGTAAGAGGAAGAAGCCTGTGGAAGTGAGGAATGAGCTATGTACCGTATATCAACTTTTTAATTATCCCCTAGGCAAAATTAGTTTTCTCTCTCATGTTTAAATGTAAGAGTGCTTTTCAGTGTACGATGTTGAATAGGATATACTGTATAAAAAGATTTGTTTCATGCATTTGAGTTCAACCACAATAAGATGTTTCTTTACCTTTTTTTTTTGTTGGGTTCTATAACCCAAAGGTTTGCATTTCACATTGATATGGATCTTTGCTTTAAACTAACATATTTTTTTCATGATTTCACACTGGAGGGCATTGTGAATTTTTTGAATGCCAGTTATTCTTACCATGCTAACTTGGTTCAGAGCCTCTGCTAGAAGTTTCTGGTTGATGCCGCACAAATTAGCCACTTTGTTCTGACATTTGTGATGAACATTCATAGCACATTCTATAGAATTAATGATACAGTGTTACTGAACATAGTAGATAGGACTAACATCACTGGTTAACAACACAACTTGGGTAATGAGCAGAATCTTTGAGCTAAAAGATGAGATGGTCTGAAAAAAATCGGTTTCCAACATAAAACTTGGGAAAACAGATAACATATATACTTATAAACTGTACCACATAACAGACACACACTATAAGTAATTAAATTAAGCTACTAAAATTCTAATGAAAATCTTTAAGGGTCTGTTCACAATAGATGTGTTGGGGCTGTACTAGGTGCCTTTTCCAGTACAGCCCCAATGCACAGACAAGGCAAAGACGCATCAGTGCGCCAACCCGCGCATGCGCAGAAGACCTGATGACGGCAGGAAAATGCCCAGGAGGCACACAGGAAGTGACCTCAACCTGATGGAAAAAGGCAAGAAAATGCCCAGGAGGCGCACAGGAAGTGACCTCAGCCTGATTGAAAAAGGCGGGAAAATGCCCAGGAGGCGCACAGGAAGTGACCTCAAACTTCAATCATCACTTCCCTATATAAGCCCAGCCCAGACACTGCCAAATTGCTGGATTATCCTCAGCCCCCCCTTGTTCCTGTGCTAGTGTGTGATCTGTCTGAACTTGTTGTGACCTGGAAACCTCTTGGACTACTCTTGAATGCTGCCTGCCATTGACCTCGGATTTGTACCTTGACCATTCTACTTCTTTGCCCCTTTTGTGCCAGATTGGAACTGACCCCGGCTTGGATCTCGACCATTCTTCTGATCAACCCTTGTGTACTTCGTTGCCAGAGTGGACTTGACCTAGGCTCGGATCTCGGACTAAGGCTTGCACGGTGCTCTGCACCCCTGGCACCCGTGCCACTCGGTGTCCACCAAGTCTCTGTCTCCATCTCCAGAGACTTCAAGGACCCGAGGTGCAAGGGAGGCCTCCCCACTACTTCGGTCTCACCTCAGGTACATGGCTCCAGTGACAAAAATTCCATGATCACATACCAGTGGTTATAATTCACACTATTAATGGTCTAATATTGTTAGTGGTGTAACTCATGATTCATTGTTGGGACCGTTACGTTTAAAATGATAGAGTTTGGGATTTAAAGTACTATTTCTGGCTTTGCAGATGACACTAGACCTATGAAGTCGTAAAAAGTCCCTACAAGATGTCTCCAACTACCAAGCCGACCCGGATGCAAAGCTTGATTGGGCAACTACTTGGCAAATTAACCCCTTCGTGACTGACGACGTACAGTGTACGTCGCCAGCATCGGGGCTGTTTAAACAGACTCCCGGCGACTTTTGCCGCCGGGACTCTGTTTAAACTTGTAGAGCCGACTGTCGGCTTTACAACAGAAGCGATCCTGGCGACTTACCTGTCGCCAGATCGCTTCTGTGTCCCGAAGAAGGGGCCGCCCCCCCCCCGCCGGACACCCCCGCCGTGCTTCCCGGGCTCCGTTGCCCCTCCTACGGGCCCGGGACCGGCGATCTTGGTGTCCGCGGGGAGCTGGGGAGGAGGTCGACGAACTTCCGTTCATCGATCCCCTCCCCGTTCTATGGGACCGGGAGCGATGCAGATTGCATCACTTCCGGTCCCTGGGCTGTCAGTTCTGGGCTCCTGGAGCCCAGCTATAAGCTATTGAAGTGCGATCTGCACTTCAATAGCTTATTTCCAGTGTAAAGGTGACACTGGGGGTCTTTTGGACCCCCAGCATCACCTTAAAGAGTACCTGTCACGACCATCTGCTATCACATGGGGGGGCTTGTAAGCCCCTCTATGTGATAGCAGTCAAAGTAAAGTAAAAAAAAAAAAGCTTTTTCAATTAAAATTAAATAAAATCAATCTAATAATAATAAAAAAAAATGTAAAGTCCCCCGCGAGCACACGCGTCGTGTGCGCCTATGTATGAAAACGACGAACGCGCTACACATGTTGGGTATCGCCGCGCACGCCGGAGTGAGAGCAATAATTCTAGGGCCAGTATTTTGGGGTATCTCTAAATTGATGACCTGTGGGGGCTTTTAAAGCGTCTTCTATTGACTTTTTGGGGTACTGCAGTTTTTCGCCGTTTCACGGACGCACGCAATTTGTAACCTATGCATGTTGGGTATTGTTTTACTCGATGTAACCGCATCTTTTATATGTCATTTAAAAAATTGGTATTTTGTTGTGTTTTGGGGCATTAAATTAAATTTTTCACTAAATGTTGGGGTTTAATAAGGAGTTGCGCTAATATTGCGCAACATAAAAATTTGCAACTACCACCATTTTATTCTATAGGGTCTTGGCATTCAGAAAATATATAATGTTGGGGGGTTTTAAGTCATTTTCAGGCCTAAAATGTGGAATATAACATGGGTGCAAAAAATGAAAAAAGGGCCTCAGTCATGAAGGGGTTAAGTGTAATGTTGATAAATGTAAATTCATATATCATACATCTATGGAGAGTACAGTGTGGGGAGTCAGTGAAGAAGGATCTAGGTGTTCTGGTAGATCACAGCAAGCAAGGCCAAGTTGCATTTTCTAAAGTAAGCAATATACTTTTTCATCAAAAGAGGTATAGGCTCCATAGTGAGAGACACCTAATCTTGACCCTAAAAAAAGCATTGGTAAGACCTTGTTTTGAATATGCAGTTCAGCTTTGGGCTCCAGTTCTTAAAAAGAATGTTGTGGTACTGGAGAGAGTGTGCAGAGAAGGGCAGCTAAGCTAAGGATAAGGAGGCAAAGAGAACCTCAGCGATGAGGAAAGATTAAATGAGAAATAGTAACACCTGTTGGGGAATTCTGCACATGGCTTCAGTCTGGCTGCAGTCCTGGTGGTTATGGCCTTGTTCTCTTCAGCCCCTCTAACCTTTTATAGAGTTAGAAGAATGAGTGGACCTGTGAAAGTTTAGTTTATGTGGGAGCATGTAAGCGATACTCTGGGAGACTCCGGGTTGCCTTGCACCAAGTGAGCTTGTTATGGCTAAATAATGAGACTTTTCTTTTTAAAACTATACTGAAATGTAAACAACTTAGCACTTTCCTCTGCTGTTAAAGTATATACATTTACTAAGTTTGAATGCTAATTTGTTAGCCTGGATTTGTGGGAGGAGTCGCTGTCCGGCACTATATCTTGCCCCCCTCTGGTCACTAACTTTCCTGCAGTCGTTTTCCTTCCTGCCTGTCGTGGTCCGAGTCGCTCTGACATCACTTCCGGATTTTGTGCTGGTTTGCTGTGGTCGCCGTAAGTGGGGCTATTTGCTACTGTCGGTAGCTACCGATTTGGGGATGCTGACCGAGAGGCAGGACAGGAGGCTGGGGGCGGATGATTCTCATGTTGCTTTAAACCGAGCGGCAGCTCTGTCAGCTGTGGCAATCTTGAGCAGCAAAGCAATATGGTTGATTGCTCCGCATCTGATACACGATTTACACACGACTCATCAATCAGTGTATTTGTTTGTACAAGTTTTAGGTCACATTTCTTTCAACCGTTGTTTTGTCTTAAACTAGGTTCTGAAGGATTATTCAGTTTCTGGAATAGGTGATGCCTTGTTCTAAGATGTGTTGTTTGTGGGTGATGGATTCAGCAGTATTTATATACAGTGAGGAAAATAATTATTTGATCCCCTGCAGATTTTGTAAGTTTGCCCACTTACAAAAAAATTAAAGATCTATAATTTTTTATCCTAGGTTCATTTTAAATGATAGAGACAGAATATCAACCATACATCTAGGAAAAAACACATGATACAAATGTTATACATTGAGTTGCAGTTCAGCGAGTAAAATAAGTATTTGATCCCCTACCAACCAACAATAATTTTGGCTGCCACAGACTGGCTATGTGGTACACAGATAAGTCCTGTCAATGTAAGAAGGTGCTCCTAACGACAACTCGTTATGTATATAAAAGACACCTGTCCACAGAATCTCTTTCTTCCATTCAAACCTCACCACCATGGGCAAGACCAAAGAGCTGTCAAAGGACATCAGGGACAAGATTGTAGACATGCACAAGGCTGGCATGGGCTACAAGACTATCAGAAAGAAGCTTGGTGAGAAGGAAAGAACTGTTGGATCAATTATTCGCAAATGGAAGGTATGCAAAATAACCATCAATCGCCCTCGGTCTGGAGCTCCATGCAAGTTTTCGCCTCATGGGGTAAGGATGATCATGAGAAAAGTGAGGGGTCAGCCCAGAAATACACGTGAGGAGATTGTGAATGATTTCAAGGCAGTTGGGACCACAGTCACCAAACAAACCATTGGTAACACAATACACCGCCTTGATTTGAGATCCTGCAGCGCCCTCAAGGTCCCCCTCCTCAAGAAAGCACATGTGCAGGCCCGTCTGAAGTTTGCCAATGAACATCTAAATGATTCAGAGAAGGATTGGGAGAAAGTGTTGCGGTCAGATGAGACCAAAATTGAGCTCTTTGGCTTTAACTCGACTCGCCGTGTTTGGAGGAAGAAAAATGCTGACTATGACCCTAAGAACACCATCCCTACAGTCAAGCACGGAGGTGGAAACATTATGCTTTGGGGATGTTTCTCTACTAAAGGTACAGGCCGACTTTGCCGCATTGAGGGGCCAATTTACGGGGCCATGTATTGTAAAATCTTGGATTAGAACCTCCTTCCCTTCAGAACCAGAACACTGAAGATGGGTTGTGGACCCATGTCTTTCAGCATGACAATGACCCAAAACATACTGCCAAGGCAACAAAGCAATGGCTCAAGAAGAAGCACATTAAGGTCAGCTGAAGGGAGCTGAAACTTCGACTTGCCAAGTGACAGCCAAGAAACCTTAAGGATTTAGAGAAGATCAATCACGTCACACATGCATCAATCACAATTTGCATTTACGATACAAATGCTTTTTCTGTCTAGTCGGTGAAGATTTTGTAGCTTACCGAGTCTAATGCCTTGAGGTATTAGGTTAGTTGTTAAATTACCTTCTTAAGCTCAATCATACGTTGTAATACCTCTAATGGCCAGGGATGGAACTCAGCTGCAGAA